AAGAGTGGGGTTGCCACAAGTCAGAACAGCATGGCCTTGAAGTGATCTGGGTGTGTGGATCTAGGGGATGTAAAAACTGAGCTTGGAAGTGCGAGTATCCTCGAGAGAAACTGAGTCTTGTTTTATCACAGCACTGACAAGAAGCTGAACTTTCTGAAATACTACATACTTAATTTTGTTAGAACTGGGTTTATTATTTCATGTGAACTTCTTAGAAACATGATGGAGCTTAGCTCTACCAGGTTTTTTTGTTGCAGTATTGCTGTGTTACACACTCATATAAGCAGTGCTATTTTGGTGATAGAGAATGGGTTCTTATCCCCAAACAAATCAGCTCTTCTGTCACATTAAAGCAGTGTTAATCCTTGAAGCACCACCCACAAGCGATTTAACTCAGGCCTCACAGGTTCCTAATTGTACATCCTTAACTGTGACGTGATGTGCAAGGTGCTATATCCATACCACTGCAATCTGTCCTTCCAAGCTCTCTTTGTAGCCTGTACTATTCTGCTATGCTGTAAGACCAGGAGAGGATGATCCACAGAGGTGGCAGAACTTGCTGATGACCCAAGATAAGCTTAGTTCAGAAGAGGATGCCAGTTTCCACAGTGCAGTGCAACACCTGTCCCCTCCCTTGCACTCCAGCTACATGCAACGATCTGAAATTACACAGCAGTAGCAAGCCAAGCACCCATTTGAATGTGTCCTCTGGCCGATTTTGTGTGGCTGTAAATTAACATATTTAGTGTCTGGATGCTAATGATGATGTTAGCTGTAAAGGTACCACTGTTACCTGTAAATAATATGGGTTACTTGAAAGCCACAAACTGCCTTTGCATAGTTTGCTATGCAGTGGACTGAAAGTTCAGGTGCCACTGTGAATCATATGATAAATACCTGCAGCAGTCAGCAAGGGAGACTGACTGTCAGGTTTTATTAAAGTGGATTAGATCCAGGAAAAAGACATTTACATAAAACTAGGATGCATCCTCACCATGACTTTGGTTGATTGGTTGGTTAGTTAATTCAGAGTAACTGTGAGCTCTTGAAAGTAATTAGCGGCTTCATACAGCACACATTCAATAGGTAGACAGACGGAAAGGAGGGGAAATGTAATGGGGGGAAGAGGACTTCAAAATAGATGGGGCAAGTAAGAGGTCAGCTGCAAGCTAATGATGCTTTCTTGAGAGCAGGGCAAAAAGGATGCTCAGCAATGTTATATCACCAGGGCAGAATGGCTTAAAACAAAATGCTTTGTTTGACCTGGTAATTAAGTGCTTTCCTGCAGGATGTAACTGAGGCCAACAGCTTAGAAAACCAAAGGAAGTTGATGTTTAAGGAATGAATGACAGGTGGAGTTCAAGGTCTCTTAATCCTTAGCTGTAGCCAGACAAGAATATACTCTTTCAAGATTTAGTTGCACAATTATGTACATTAGGAGGCATTTAATTCTTCATATGTATCTAATAATGACTTCTCAAGATGGATGCAGGAGCAGACATAAGCCCTCTACTAGGATTGTTATTTCAAGCCTTCTACTATGTTTCTTTGTGTGGTAGAATTCCTGCCCCTTACTGTTTCTGAATCTCCAGTTTAGCAGATGGTGCTTAAAAAAATGGAAAATGACCAAACAATTCTCTCCTCCTTGCTCTTGCTGCCCCCATCTTTGTATCAAGATGAATCACTTCAATACAAAGCTTAGCTTCCTTGCTAACAACACGACAGCATCTCCCTGTAACAGAAATGAGTGCAATACAGTTTTATGCAGTAAGAAACCTGAGGGTATAATGAAAGATGAACTTCTGCATTTCCACTTCTTTCCTCCATTATCCACCTGCTCTGGCTTCTGGTCTGTCTGCCTTTAACGATAAGGGAAAAAAAGGCTGGAGATGAGTCTTTTTCACTTCTGCAGTCTTTAGAGCTATAGAGAAGGAATGAAAATAAGGAACTAGACTGTAATTCAGGGCCTGCAGAACAAAAAAAGATGGATCTTGAGGACTTGTACTATTTAATGTTAAATATTAATATGATCACACGTAGCTTTTGGGTGTATATTTCACTGAGCAGTAAGTAGGTCTCATACGATGTCTGTTCTGCAGTACAGGTCCTTCTGAACTCTGTGGAAACTGCATCCATATACTAGGAATGGATAGACTGCCTATGTCGTATGCCAAGTTGAGGTGAGCTTTGAAAGACTTGGAACAAATGCTGACCCACTACTAGCAAAACTATTTTTAATATAATGCAAGCCTTGAAGTAAGAGTTTTTCTTTGTACTTTTATGAAGACAAGTCCCTTGACACTTGGCCAACTGCAGGTTTTTTAATGGATGAATGGGTTAGTGAGCAAAACTTCCTGCTACAGTGTCACTCTGATATAAACTTCATACACTAAAGAGTAGGGTTGAGTGTCCATCAGACTGTGGCACTAGCCTTTTTTTTTTTTTAGCTCTGATATGATAAACTAAATGAGTCTTTAGGAACTTAAGGTATGTTAGCAAGTGTTTAGTGGAAGTGGAGTGCTTTTTTTTCAGGTGACTGTTTTACTTGTGTGCCACTGTATAGGTCAGTATAGTATGCTTGGATCTACCAGAATAAATGACTCCAGAACTGTGGTTGAAACATAGTTTCTGTTCATGCAGTAGCTGTATTGCTGTTACCAGATCTGTTTAACATGAAGAATTTTTTTTTTTAGTATTTCAGGTGAAAGCCTTAATCAGATGCCTGCCCTTTAAGGTAGGCTCACATGTAGTGTTGTATAGATTGAAACACGACTGTCCTTAAAATTGCAGAGTTTAAGAAACCATAATGAACAGAAGAATGCTCCTGTCTCCAAAGGGCAAGAATCTGGATTAGATGGGCTCGACCTAGCACCAGCGGCTTGGATGGGTGCCTTGGGTGGGTGCTTGCTCCTTTTAAGTGAAGTGTTTGATCTGGTCCTGATGATCAGGCACTAGATAGAAGCAGAAGGTGCCCTGTGTCCCATGCATACTGCGTGTGCAAGTCTAGCTGAAATAACTCCACATATCCCAGTGGTCTTGCACTGTCATCCTGTCACCGTAAAGACCCTCATTATGGATTTATAACTTAAATGAAGAAAGTGAGTGCTATTCTGGCTTGGTGTTTTCTCTGACAGAGAAAGGTGGAGATGATCCTTCTGCAGCCAAGATGAACTCCTTAGGGAATTAAATATTTTTGTCTGTTTTCTGAGCAGGTGTTACCTTGTATCACAACCACTCTCCTGCAGTGGTGTCCTGGCTCTGTCTGCTCAGGAGCAACTCAACTTAGGCCCAGAAGGCTACTGAATCCCCGTGCTCTCTGCAAAGCAGAGTTTCCCTCCAGGTCAGGGTTGAGATGGTGCTATGGGACCACAGTGGTCCCCTTCCATGCAAATCAGTATTCTACTCTAGTACTGATAGGGTACTCCAAAACCATTTACATCTTTATCACTGGTTCAGCTCAAAACTAAGAAATGGCAGGTTTCTTTCTTTAAGAACAATATCCTGTGTCTCTTTTTGTAATTAATCAGTGCAGTTCTGTGTTCTTATGTAGCCAACACAGAACTTGTATTTAGATTTAGTTCTTACTGCACTTCCCATAGCCCTCATGTTGATACTTCTTCCTGC